CTGGTCATAGAAGGAGATCAGGTTGGTCAAGCAGGACCTGCCTTTTATAAACCCATGCTGACTGGGCCTGACCATCTGGTTGTCCTGTACATGCCATGTGATGGTGCTCAAGATGATCTGCTCCATAACTTTCTCTGGCACCGAGGTCAGGCTGACAGGCCTGTAGTTCCCCAGATCCTCCTCCAGGCCCTTCTTGTAGATGCATCTTTCTTGCATTAGAGCCCAAAACTCAACACAATGTTCTAGATGCCATCAACCGAGTGCTGAGCAGAGTGGGATAGTCACTCCCATCGATCTCCTGGTTACGTTCCTGCTCATGTAGCCCAGGTTGTTGATGACAGTCCTTGGTGACAGGGAACAGTGCTGGGAGTCGCATCTGTTTTGATGGGGTTTCCGCAAAAGCAACCTTTCTTGGCCCTGCTTTTGGGCTGCTACTTCTCAGGGGCTGAAGGATGGCTGGCGGCTACCAGGCCAGCATCCAGTCAGGGCTCTGGACAGACAGAGTCATAGAATCATAGAATAGTTTGGGTTGGAAGGGACATTTAAAGGTCATCTAGTCCAAACCCCCTGCAATAAGCAGGGACATCTTCAACTAGATCAGGTTGCTCAGAGCCACGTCCAACCTGACCTTGAGTGTTTCCAGGGATGGGGCATCTACCACCTCTCTGGGCAGTAACGTCGTGCCCAGCTGTGTCCTACAGCAGCTCCCCTTCCTCAGCTGCAAGCTTCTCTGTAGCCTTTGCTGCTGGTCTCCACACTGCTTTGGCGAGATCCTGGACAGCCCTTTGAGACACCCAGCCCACACCCACTGCCTCTCTCACTGCCCTGAGTTTCTCCCTGCCTCCCTCTCTCCAGAAACATTCCCAGGAAGCCCTGGGCACAGACAGGGAAGGAGCAAGGTGAGAAGGGCATGCACCACCTGTGGGCCTGTGTGGTGAGTTGACCCTGACCAGCACTACGCACCCACTGGCTCTTCACACTCGCTCTGCTGTCCCAGTGGGATCGAGCAAGAACTGGAAGAGGAAGAGAGCGAAATACCCTTGGGTCAAGATAAGGACAGTTTAAGAAGGAAAGGGACAAAAGAGAAAAAAACAAGTGCTGCAAAGGTAATCACGCACCACCTTGCACCAGCAGACTGATGCCCAGCCATTGTCCAAACAACGGCTGCTTTGGAAAGACTGCCCACAGTTTTATTGCTGAGCCTGATGTTATATGGCATGACATAGCTCTTTTGTCAAGTCAGGTGAACCATTTGGAGGTCATTTCCTGCTTGAGCCTCCTCCCCCAGTTCAGTGGCAGCCAGGGCAAGAGGAATTGCTGCCCCTCCTCTCCCATCTCTTCCTCTCCCCTCCTGGACACTTTCCAGGAATCTGTGGGGCTGCTGCCCTCCCAGGGCCTCCCACATCCCAGGCGCCTCAACCACCATCAGCAGTGGCCATGTGCCCCTTCCGCAGCATGTGTACCGAGGCCAAGAGAGAACGTCCGGGCAGAGGCTCAGCAAAGCTGGGTCTGATGACCAGGAGCTCTGGAGGAGTCATGGACGCCCTCCAAACCTGCAAGTGATAGTACCCGAAGGGGACCCACTGCACTGTGTCATACCCTCCCCTCCTTTTGTGAATGCTGAAGGCTCCCAATGTGCCCCACTCACCCGTAACTTCCCCAGGGCAACACTTTCCTCACCCTTGGTGCTACAGTGTCCACAGAAGAGGCAGTAAACAATCATTCCTATGGTGGTTTGACCTTGTCTGGCTACCAGGTGGTGAAGAGATAGTTGTTATCTTATTGATCACATCCATAGGGATGACGTCCTGCCATTTTGCTCCCAAGAAACGCATCTCCTGTGCAGGTCTGTTGACCTTGCTTCTTTTTACGACCAATCCACCTTTCAGAAGAATCAAAATTATTCTTTTGCCCTTCTCAAACACTTCTTCTGCTTTCTTGCCCCACATGATGGGGCAACTAAACTGCAACTAAACTGACAGCCTTTTTGCATGACCCCTTCTTAGCAGCTGTCTTCCCCCTCAGTTCACATACACAGGCTTCCAGCTTAAAGGTGGGCTCACCATCCCACTTCCTCAGTCCTCCCCCTGGTCATGCAGGAAGAACCAGAGAGGGCCACGCAGCATGGTCTTAGGGTTCCCTTTCCCACTGACCATGGTGGGAGAGGACTGGCTCCATGGGGCACCCCTCACAGCTGAGGTGCTGGCCTGTGGGGACAAGGAGGGAGAGGGATTTTCTTCAAAATTTCAGAGGCAGGAAGATGCTCTCTCCACAGTTGGTGTATCCAAATCTGGGCAATACATTGTTGCCACGGTATTAGAATATGACACTGGTGCATTTTGGACTAACTTTTTCACATGGCCCATATACACAGGGCATTCTCCAGACCTTCAGAGACCTCATTGTCATCGAGGCCACCATAGATGACTTGCAGCACCGCTAATTCTCTCAGGTATTGGATGCCTTCCTAAGTGGTAGTCCACCTTCCTTGATAATTCACAAGATCTTCCTTGAACGGATATCTTGCCCTCACACTTGACAGGAGACACCTCCAGAGACTGCAATTCATTGCCTCTTTTCCAATTCCGCTGACAACTCCCTGGTCCCTATCGAGGCATCCCAGCTGTTGGGCTTCCTTATCTTCCAATTCCTGACTGTTGGCCCCACTCTCCCAGCGTCGGAGTTGCCAGGCAGTAATCTGCTCACATGGCTGATGCCTGTAATCTTTATACACGTCTCAAAGTTCTCTAGAGGTCAGGGACAGGGTACTTTCCGTCTCTTGAGTGATTTCTCTCACTTCTTCCTCCCATTTCTTTGCTGAAGGACCAGCTTCCCGATCAGACTCTTCCTCCTCCTCACTCCCTTACTAATTGATGATATGGACCCGTTCACCTCCTTGTCCACTATTTCTTTTCCAGTACTGGAGCGATTACTGTAGGTAGTGTTTGGGTCCCTACCTCAACCATGGTGTTCTCAGATGTGGTTTGGGTCTCTGCCTCAACTACCGTGTTCTTAGATGTAGTTTGGATGCCTGGCT